CTGCAAGAAGAATGGTGCGCGGTGTGGGCGGCACTGTGGCTGTATAACCGGTAAGGGTGGCAATTGCAAGAACCATTGAAGAAGTGTGCCTTGTACGCTTTGCCGTCTCCGCTGAAAGGTGCTGCCGCCTGTGGCGGCTTCATATTTCCTGTTCATTTCTGTTGTTCGGTCTCTCTGTTCGTGTTGGTTGGCTTGTAAGAGTTGTATTTCTGACGCTAGAGAGGTGAGATGACAGCGGGAGCGTTGAAGCGTGCATGCCATCACGTGTGCAAGCAGCCCCGCTCCGCCCCGCTCAACCCTCAAACATGGCTCTATGGGGTCAGTTCACGTATGGGAGGGGAGCGCCGCGCGGGCTGCCAGGAGCGAGCGGGGGCGGGGGTTGCCCAATCGGGAGGGTGCCACATCAGGGGGCAACATGGCTGACGGCATGCATATATCATGGCGCAGGGAATGCATTGTATTCTGAGGGGTAAACAACTAACGCGTTCATTCAGGGGCATACAAGGGCATACAAGGGGGGTGGCAGAGAACTACAGCTAGAATCAGGGGGACTGAGATCGGGAACTAAAGGCGGTGCATGCATGGGGGGACAGATCAGAGTGCTGGATTGGGATCGGGACTCGGGATAAGCATTCGGGACATGGGTAGAGGCCAAGGGCACACGCTGGCGATGGCGCCGGCTAGCCAGTTGTGGGCGACGCCCGGGTGGCGGGTTCAGCTCTCGGGTGCGCCCTGCTGCAGGACCTCCTCCACACCGTAGGGCACAGTGGATGGGGCAGGTGCATCGGCAGCCAGCAGCTTGCGGGAGGGAGCCTCAGCAACGGTGGCACCCTCCGACCAGCCGTAGGTGCCGTCATCAGAGGGGGCAGGTGCGTCGGCGGCAAGCAGCTTGCGGGAGGGAGCCTCAGCAACGGTGGCACCCTCCGACCAGCCGTAGGTGCCGTCATCAGAGGGGGCAGGTGCGTCGGCGGCAAGCAGCTTGCGGGAGGGAGCCTCGGCCACGGTGGCGCCGTCTGACCAGCCGTAGGTGCCGTCATCAGAGGGGGCAGGTGCGTCGGCGGCAAGCAGCTTGCGGGAGGGAGCCTCGGCCACGGTGGCACCCTCCGACCAGCCGTAGGTGCCGTCATCAGAGGGGGCAGGTGCGTCGGCGGCAAGCAGCTTGCGGGAGGGAGCCTCGGCCACGGTGGCACCCTCCGACCAGCCGTAGGTGCCGTCATCAGAGGGGGCAGGTGCGTCGGCGGCAAGCAGCTTGCGGGAGGGAGCCTCGGCCACGGTGGCACCCTCCGACCAGCCGTAGGTGCCGTCATCAGAGGAGGCAGGTGCGTCGGCGGCAAGCAGCTTGCGGGAGGGAGCCTCAGCAACGGTGGCACCCTCCGACCAGCCGTAGGTGCCGTCATCAGAGGGAGCAGGTGCGTCGGCAGCCAGTAGCTTGCGAGCCTGCGCCGGCGCCGCCGCCATCGCCAGCAGCAGCAGGCCGGCCAGGGCCAGAGCCAGAGTCCGCATGGACTGCATAAGAAGCCAGAGGAATCGGGCCACGGTGAGTGAAGCACGAGTGAAGCTGCAAGTGGTGACAGACGGCCGGGGCACAGCCATGGGCATGTGGGGTGGCGACAGATACCGCCCCTGGCGGCTTGGCGGCTGTGCACAGGCGCCAAAATGGCATGCAAGTGCAGGGCAGCTGAGGGATGGCAAGTAATGCCCCGGGTTCAGGGTGCCAGGCAACGATGCATGCCGGCCTGTCAGAAACTTCAAACGCAGCAAGACATGCGCTATTGCTGGCCAGGCACTGCCTGCCTGGCGTGCCAGTGGCAGCAGCTATCCTCACAGCGTGCTGCAGCAGCACTGGGGCTCACCTTCATGTCAGTGATGGGCAAGTCCAACTGGGAGGCAAACGGGCGTGGGTGTCTTCTGGGGCTGCTGGCGCGCCAATTGGTGATGCTGACAAGAATAATGATCAATGAATGTGAGTGGTGCTGATGCCGGCGGTCTGAATTTCCCGCCGCCTGCCCCAACTGGAAACTGCGGGCAGGAAAATGGAAGGTCCAAGTACATGCAAGCAGAGCAGGTCCCTGACTCGCGCGCCCATTGCCAAAATGAGCGCCTATATTGCGGGGCAAGCTTCGCCGGGGTACCTGAGGGAACCGCCACCGGCGCCAACACCCCGACGCCGCCCGCCACTGGATTGTCCTCCGCAAGCAAACCTACCATCGAATCAGTTACAAGCGAGCCAGGGACTCAGTGGATTGCTCATGAACCTCATCCTCCACCTTTGCTGCTGCTACTGCCGCCGCCTTGACCGCCGCCGCCTACCGCCGCCGCTGCCGCCATGGAGGGCCGGGCGGGCGCCGCCACCGCGTTGCCCAGCCCGCTGTCCCGCATCACGTCGTTCAGCAGGTACAGCCACATGTGGTAGGCGGAGGGGCTGCACCAATGGGTGCACTCCCCGGGCTTGTGGCTGTCCCAAAACGGGATGCTTGCATTCCAGGTGCGCAGGTGTGCGTCCGCAAAGTGCGGCACGAGGGGCGCCAGCGGCAGGTTGCGCCGGCCGCCGCCGCCCACCACCGGGTCGCCCTTGCCCCAGGCAGCCAGCGGCTTGCAGGTGAAGGGCTTCTCGCCGCCGCTGTACGAGCCGTCGGGGCCGGAAAAGTGCTGCGGCAGCAGGAGCGCGGCAGGCGCGCGTGTGGCGATGAGAGCTCGGCTTGAGCAGGGCACGGCAGGGCGCAGATGGGCGAGCAGGTGGGAGCAGGCAGGCGCAGGTGGGAAGGGCACGGGCTGCTCGCCTGCACGGGGATGTCCATCCACACCATCTTGGGCATCTCCGCGCCGTACTGCCGCTTGAACTTGACCAGGCGGGACAGCTCGCTGTACAGCTGGCTGGCGTTGGCGGGCTTGCCATCCATGCCGGGCGTGCCGTAGTGAAGCCTGCCGCGAGCACGCAAGCAAAGCACGACGTGGGCATGCCGCAACGCTCGGCACAGCCTGGAGCCGCGCCCTCGCTGACTTCGCTGCGCGCGCCCGCCAGGCCCCAGCAGCAGCGGCGGCGGGGGGTATCCAACAGGCAGCAGCCGCGTCGGCCAGCCAGGCCCTCACCCTGTGTTGTAGATCATGATGCCGCTCTTGAAGTTGGGTGTGTTCTTGTGCAGTGTCGGCATCACCTGCGGCACGGGGGTCGCCGGACAGCAGGCATATGTATGGTGTGCGACAGACAGAGACAGGCAACAGCAGGAGCAGCCAGCTGCACGGGCGCCAGGCACCCCGGTGCAGGCTCCCACCGCTCGCCGCCAGATGCAGGCAGGGCAGGCAGGTGCCCTGGGCCGCGTGCACCGGCGCCCACCCCCAGCAGCGCAGGGCCGCACCACATCACGCAGGCCATGCTGCGGTGCCCCAGCGCACTGTGACAAAGAAACCTGCCCATCCGACGCACCGTGCCCATAAAAGCGGTGACTGTGTCCACCCGCACCGCGCACACACGCGTGCCCAGCACAAGCTCCAGGCAGATGGGCGGCACCTTGACAGGCCACGTGACGGTGACCAGCTTCTGGCTGAGCGCCCAGGATAGCGGCGCTCTGCGCGACACGCACAGCGAGATCAGGGCAGCAGCAGCACACACATTCAGAATGGAAGGTGAGCGGGGGGAGGCAGGCAGATCACATGCCGCATCCAGCATCCAGATTGGCATGATTGGTGGCGTGTCGAGGCCGGGCTGCTCCCACGGGTCTCACGTGCGGCGCAGCGAGGGCGCAAAGCTGCGCAGGAAGCACTCTGCCGAGTAGAAGAAGTGCCAGGTCTGGCTGTCGCCCACAAACCACAGCGTGCGGCCGCGGATGCGCTGGAACAGCTCGCAGGGTGTGAAGGCCTGCGCGCACAATGCCCAAGAGGGGGCCAGGTGAGGCAGGCCATTGGCACCGCAGGCAGGCAAGCGGCATCCGTTGCAGGCAGAACTGCAGCATCAGCCACCGATGGGCAACAACGCAGCAGCCAGCGACAGCCGGAAGCGGCAGCAGGCGCCACAGCAGCCGGGCAGCCTCCGCACCCGCAGCTGGTACCCGCTGTCCAGCAGCTGCTGCGCAACTGCCTCGCTCTTGTTCTGCCTCGGGTAGTACTGCTCGCACAGCCGGCTCTCAAAGATGCACACCCCACAGCATATCGGTGGCTTCTCCACGGCCGGGCAGTGCGGGCAGACGGTGTCGCGCGTGGGCATGCTGTCGATGTCAAAGAGGAACGGCAGGGCGGTGTCCTTGCGCCATCCCGGCGGCGGCTCGGCGGTGCCTGAAATACAGAGGTGCGAGCATGTTGCAGGCAGGCACAGTAGCAGGGAGGGCGACTGCATGGGCAGGCAGGTGGAAACAGGACAATCCGGGGCGGCGGAAAGCTAGCAGGCGCAGCCGGCAGCTGGCAGCGCACCGTTGGGGTGGAGCAGGCAGCGTGACTGGGGGTCTTGGAACACAAAGCCGTCTGGTGCGGCAGACCACTCTGTGGCGTTGCCGGTCACAGGCATTTGCCCGGTTGTGGCCAGGGCCTTTGCAGCCTTGGCCAGTGTGGCCGCAGCAAAGGCAGCCCACACCGCCTGCGCAGCCTCCTCCTCCTTCTTCTTCCGCTTGGTATTCAGCTCCCACTGCTGCGCCTCTGTCAGCAGCAGGTCGCCGTGATCCTGCGGCAGCACCTCTGCCGGACGCAGCTCGTCCCGCGTCTCGCCGCCAAGCAGCCGGTCCACAGGCCCCATGGCCTCCTCCGGCTGCTCCCCCAATTCTCCAGGGCCGGCGTCCTGCTCGTAGTACACCTCGCGGTACAGACCGTACCGCAGGCTCATGCGCTCCACATGAGGGTACAGCGCATGGCTCCGCGGCACGCACACCTGCGGGCAGCGGGTAGTGTGAGGGACACAGCGTCAGCGCCACCGCAGAACCAAGCCCATTTGCACAGCTCTGGGTGGCAGAACGGCATGCAGACTTTGCTGCTGGCACTTACGATGGTGCTGGGCGTGTGTGTCTCATAGCTGGGCCTCCAGCAGCCCGTCAGCCGAGCTAGTGAGCCCTCGGAAGTTTGCTTGCCTGCAGCCAAGCCATCGCCGAGCACACACCATTCGGCAGGCCACCAGTGCCATCAGCGTGCCATTAGGGCAAACCACACGCCTGGCAGCTGGCGTGGCACCCACCTGCGAGGTAGCATGAATAGCCCAGCTCATCTAAGCGCGCGACCGCGTCCAGCAGCTTGCCGTTCTGCCACTCCTGGTGCCCGCCGTACGAAAAGGTCAGGACGCCCACCCTGCCAGCTGCAATGCTGGCCACGGCGCCGCCCAATGCTGGCAGCTCAAAGCCTGCACATGACAGGGAAGCACTGAGTTGGCAGGCAGCGCCACCTGACAAGCAGCAGAGGTGGCAAAGCGCAGGCAGCATCTGCCAAGGCAGCTGGACGCCCCCGTTTCCGTCCCGGACGCACCTTCTGCATCAATCTGCACCAGGGAAGGGCGCAACAGGCAGCAGCAGAGCAGGTCAGTGGCATACGGGCCTTGTGGGCAGTGCCCCTGGCCAGTGCTCGCCAAGGAGCAGGGTGCACCACAGTATGCTATCCTTGCGCATGCCGCGCAGCCATCCGTCAGTCCCGGCCTGCCCGCCGCCCGCCCACCTTCAGGAGGTCTGCGTGCTGCAGCTGGTGCATGGCTAGAAGCTCATCCACAGTCACCACAGGCACCACATCAGCCTCCAGGTTGCCTCCCGCATCTGCTGGAGGGGCCAGGCTGCAGCTGCCACCGTCCATGGGGCACAGCGCCACTGAGGCACCACTGCTGCCGCTGCCCACCCCCGACTGCATCAGGCGCCTGCAGGCACGCGGGTTGGGGCGGCCGGTTGGGAGAGGGATGGACACACGGCTGTGCAGCATGGCGGTCTGCGCAGCAGGACAGCCATGGGATGGGCATGGCGGCGGCGGAGCAGCAGGCAGGCAGGCAGGCACGCGCACCATCGCATGCCTGGCACCGAGCCAGTGAAGAAGTGCTCCCGCAGCTCCACCAGCGCTGAGTAGCGCAGCGGGTGAGGCTCCACACACAGCACCTGCAGCCCGCTGCCCTTGGCCTGCAAGGCTGCGCCCAGGACGGCCTGCGGCACGGGAGCAGCAAGGTGCCGCCTCGTTGGCGGGAAGGCAGCTGGGGCCGTGCTGCAGCTGCGCCCAAGAAACTACGTAAGAGTGGGGCCGGCGGCAGGCCGCACCACCCTCCGCCCACTTCCTCGCCCACCTCCTGCTCGCACTCGCCACAGGCGCCGCAGGGGGTGGCTGGCGCAACCTTGCGGATCGCCTTTGGCGTGAATTCCAGCTCGGGCGCCCACAGGCCAAACAGAGCGGCGCTGGTGTAGCCTGCGGCACGACAGGTGTGGGGAGAGCCAGCGAGGAGCCTGAGCCAAGCTGGCTGGCTGGCTGGCGCTGGCCACCGCTGCGCCGTGTACGTGCGCAAGCAGGCATGTCCGCTACCTTGTCGGCACCCGACATCAACAAACACTTTGCCGCCGCCAGGTGACACCTCTGCACGGGAGCATAGCAGCGGCAGCGATATCAGGGAGCATTGAGCTTTGGTCATAATGGCCCGGTACGTCACATGTGGCAGCCTGCATACATTTGCAGTGCTGAAACCCACCACTCACCCTGCAACTTCGTCAGCCAGTGCTTGCTGGGGCAGGCGGTGAAATTTGGTGTGGCGGCGCTCAGCTCCAGGAACCTGCTGGCCAGCTCCTCGGCTTGGTTCCCGCGACAGAGCCTGCGCATCGATTGCAGCGAGAGCTGGCAACACAGGGGCTAGCGCCTGGCTGGCCTGTGCACTCCCGCCACAAGCGACGGCTGCTATGCGGCAGCGCAACGCCAAGTGCTCACTCTGCTATCTGCAATCCCACCGCCTGCGTGTAGCGCTGGCTTCCACCCAGCGGGTGCACACTGCCTGCTCAGGGTGGCATGTGGAATGTAGAGTCACCTCAAGTTCTGAAGTGGAAATGCCCCAACCACTCGCCACCCAACTGCCCTTCGCGGCAGTACGCCGCCGCCTTTGGCGTCAAGCGGTGTAAGCCCTCTGCAGCTTGCGCAGCTCCTACAGGCGCTCACCCTTGATGGGGAAGGCGGGCCTCGACTGCCAGAAGCCCCCAACCAGCAGGCGAGGAAGGCTCCCTCTCCCGCAGCTGCCTGTCGGGCTGAAGAGGTACCATACGCCGATCGTGGCGAGCACCATCAACTGCAGCAGCGCATAGATGGCGGGCCCAGGGCGGGCCAGCCGCTTCGCCTGTGCGCCTGCGCCCATTGCTGTTGCTGCAATTCAGCTATGTAGTGCACATTGCGGACAGCTCGAATGCATCCATGGATTGGATCCTCGCTTTGATTTTGGCGCCAGATTGCTGGTGCCAGCACCACGTCGGCCGCCTGAATTTTTAGGCGTGATGCCCCCAGCTCTCTATTCCTGTTGCATCCTTTGCCCGGGCACATCCCAGATACATTAATGGCAGCCTGATCGCCAATGGGCCAGGAGCGCTGCGATGGCTTGTGCCAAACCCGAGAACCGCAGCGCAGAACGAAGTTACAAGGGGGCTGAGGACGCCACACCGATGGCGGCCGACGCCGCCCCAGCAGCAGCGCCAGCGGCGAAGCAGAAGGCCGCCGCCGTGACTCGCCCGCTGCCATTCCGCCTGCTGCCCACGGCGCCCACCGACTGGGACCCCGCCGCGGCGCAAGTCACGCTGAACGTGCGCCTGGATGGCTGCATAGTGCCCAGCGAGGCCTCGGAGCAGGGGGCACGCATTTCCTACTCACACGCAGGTGGGCAGGTGGCATGGGTCGGGGGCGAGAACCGCCGCCGCCAAGCCACTCTTCTCCCTCCCTGCCTGTGATGATCTAGTGGTGCTTTGGCGCCACCCTGCTTGTTTGCCTGCAGTGGTGCTGGATGACTTTATTGAAGACTCCACGAGGCAGCAGCTGCTGGACTTCCTTCTCGGCCCCGCAGCAGGCCCTGTAGCAGATGAGCAGCCACAGCAAGGCGAGCAGCAGAATGGGCAGCAGCAGCAGCAGCCTGTCACGCTGAATGGCACAGCAGACGCCACTCCGCCGCATGGCAGTCCCCAGCAGCCGGCGGGGCCGCTGCTGCCCTCGCAGTCGGCGCATTGGGAGCGCCGTACGAGCGACATGGCGGGGGCAGCTGCCACCTGGGGCGTGCAGCAGCGTGTGCTTCAGGAGCTGGCTCGGGGGCGGCTGCCGGCGCTGCAGGAGGTGCACGCCCGCCTGTGCCGGCTGTACCCTGAGTGCGACATCGCCCACCTGCCCTCGGATGCCATCCAGCTGGCGCAGCAGGGACCACAGCAGGGAGATGTGGTGCAGGAGCCGAAGCAGCAGGAGCAAGATGTGCAGCAGCAGCAGGAGCAAGATGTGCAGCAGCAGCAGGAGCAAGATGTGCAGCAGCAGCAGGAGCAAGATGTGCAGCAGCAGCAGGAGCAAGATGTGCAGCAGCAGCAGGAGCAAGATGTGCAGCGACCCCCTGCCAAGCGCAGCAAGGCGGACAGCGGGGCTGCGCCCGCCAGCACCTGCGCCGCGACTGGCAGCAGCGCCGCCGCAGCAGCAGCCGATGGCGGCGCGGGCGGCGGCACCCAGCCAGCCGTCGACTGCGCCTGCTTCGTGGCCAATGCCGCCGTGACGGGCGACAGCTTCAGGTGCCCTGGCTGGCAGGCTTGTTTGTGGGGGCATGCTGCGCAGGGTGCCGATGTAGGGAGGAGTATACGCTGTGCCTAGCCCCATGTGTTGGGATGTGTCCGGGGAGGGGCTCCTGTCCAGCTGCTTTCCTGCTGGGATGCCTGCAGGTTCCATGTGGATGCCGACCCAACCTCCTTCCCAGACGGCAGCCCCTGGCACGGTGGGTGGCTGGCCCAGCCGCCTCGCTGCAGCACGGCGGTCCGTACAGCAGCCGGGGTGACAGGCTCGCCTGGTGGCGCTCGCTGCGGCCCTCTCCTGCCTCACCGCGGCCACCCTTGCCGCCGCCCCCCACTTGCTCTGCAGATGCCTATGGAGATTACTTCAACGGCGAGCCGGGGCGGCCCCTGCTGGTGTCGCTGCTGCTGTACCTGAACCCAGAGTGGCGGCGGGAGTGGGGCGCCGACACGCTGCTGCTGGATGGGCAGACGGACACGGGTGGGGCGGGGCTGTGCGTATGGATGAGATCGCCCGGGGCCTGCCGTGCACGCAGGGCCGCAGCAAGCGGACCTGCGCTGTGCAGCAGCAGCAGCAGGTTGGGCTGGTTCGCCTGAGCAGCCCCTTGTCCGCCCTGGGCGCTGACCTGGCATGCGTGCAGGCATCTTTGTGGCGCCACGCCCCTGCCGGGCCCTGCTGTTCGACCAAGACATCATGCACCGGGTGTCGGCGCCCTCGGGTGAGCAGCTAGCCGCCCTTTTGGGCATCTGCGAGGTGCACCAGTTTCAGTTGGTGGCCGTGGCAGAGGTTTGCTTGTGCCTATCCTATGTCGGCCTAACGCGCCATCTACCAGCGCCTGCTGAATTGCCGTGCAGCCGCCGCCGGCGACCGTGCCCGCTTCTCTCTGGTGTGGAAGCTGGCCCTGCTGCCCCGGCGCCCCGGCCAGGCGCTGTGCCTGGCCCGCCCCGAGTGGGGCCCTCCCGTCAGCTTTGGCAGCGCGGCACGCGTGGATGCAGTCAAGCGCCAGCTGGCGGCGCAGCACCGGCGCCAGGGTGCATGACAAGTTACATGCCTCGTTGGCCGGCCTGCCTCACCTCCCTTTCATCGGCTTTGCCTCCGTGCATGTGTTGCTTACACGCCTTAAGTTGAGACCAACCGCTAAGCACAAACACGCATTGTAAAAGGCCGCAGTCCCTGCTGCCTGCTGGCTGAGAGGCAACCCTTCTCGCGACCTATAACCTGCCGCAAGGGGTGACGCCTCGGCCGGCGCTCTGGGCTGCCACGCCGCATCAGCCTCGCCCAGCGCTGGTGGAGCGCCCGCCGCCCTGGCCGCCACGGCCCCCACCTGCTCCCCTGGCACTGCGGCCCCTGCCACGCCCCATGCCGGCGCCGGGGCCCTGCTGCGCATCAGTGACTGCGGGGCGCGACCCAGCGGCAGCAGACCTGGTTGTCGCCCTACAGATGCAGGCAGGGGAAAGGGCATGGGTCAGGTCAACACTGCTGTGAGGCCATGACGGTTTACCCTAAAAAAGCAAGCTGCTGGAGCTCCCGCACCAGGCCCATCCGGCTTCCCTGCAGCCCTCACCTGGCCGGCCTCGTGGCGCCACTCCCCGCCGCCTGCATGCCCGCCGCAGCCGCTGGCACAGGCTGTGCGGCAGGCCGGTGGGCAGAGGGCGAGGCTGGCCCGGCGGGGGCCGCCACACCGGCCTGGCGGCGCTGAAGGAAGGGCTCGGCCTGAGCCCAGGACAGCAGGCTCGGCAGGGTCAGGCTGTTTCAGGGCAACACTGCAACAGCATGGGATGCACTTGCTGTGCTGCATCGCACGCTGGCCCTGCCCCGCGCTGCCCTGCTGCGCAGCCGAGGCAGGCACAGCCCACCACCCCACCGCACCTCCTTGCGCAGCTGCTCCACGTTGCGCCGTACAATCTTCATCCCGGAGAATGCCTGGGACAGGTCCGCCACCTCGTCCCTGTGCAATGCATGGGGTGGTTAACAAGCAGGTTGAAAAGGCGCACCCCGCTTAGCTGGCAAGCCACACCGCGCCCACGCGCGCTCCCTGCCGACCCCTCTTATGTTGACCACTCCACAGAAGCGCGCCCCAGGCAGCAGCGACCCTGGCCTAATGCACCTGCCGCCCTGCCTCAATTATGCCGCTTCAAAGCCCTGCTGTGTGCACGCAGGCCCACGCTCACATCCCCTGTGCATTCACTGCTGCAGCGGGGTGGTCGAGTCCAGCATGCGCACCGCCTCCACCAGCCGATCAAGCATCTTCTTCAAGGCCTCCATCTCCTGCTGCTGCTCCTGGCTGGCGCTCATCCGCGGGCCCACGTCCTGCACGCTGGTCAGCAGCTCGGCATGCAGGTCCACAACATGCAGGGCGCAGAGGAGCAGCGCAGGGCGCAGAGGAGCAGGGCGGTGGGTGGCGGCACGTGTGGCGTGGGGCGCCTGCATGACAGCCCCTCGCCTGCATCCCACACCTGCAGGGCGCTGCGGGAGAACAGGGCACAGACCGGCGCAGCGCAGTCGGCCCAGCCAGCAGGTGGCACAGCAACTGCTGCACGCTGGCGTGGGTGGCAGCAGCCCTCGTCATCTCAGGTGGTGTGGCGCAAGCAGGAGGCTGCAAGACGGGCAGGCAGGCCGACTCCCGCCCTCACCTGGCAGTGTAAGCCATGCTGCGCACCGTGCCGCACATCTCACCCACATTCCGCCCGCTCAGCTGAGCTGCAGTCAGAGAGCGCATCAGCAGCGGCCGCACTTAGGCGGGCCGGGGGGGCGGCAGGGCAGCGGGGGCAGCGGTTCTCGAGTGTGAGACCTGCTCCCAGTGCCGGCTCTGCGCACAGCTGGAACGGCCAGTGCGCGCTAGGTGCAAGCGCCCCCCCCCCCCCCCA